AGATAGATAGATAGATAGATAGATAGATAGATAGATAGATAGATAGATAGACATACATATTACCGGGAGTAAGTCAAACCAAATGTTTGTTTTTATTTCTTCCTGATATTACTCAGATCTACGTGCCCACAATCTATAAAATCTGCAGCAAAGGCAGCAACCAACGCGTGCGAGATCTCAATGCAAGCTGCAGATTCACCATCTAACCGCCCCCTCTACCTTAGGTTAACAACGTGGAAAAGTTCGAGGTAACGAACAGTACACAGTTACACACATGTACACACGCACGCACGCACGCACACACACACACACACAACCTGCATATGTTTACCCTGCATATATATATATATATGCGCCCGCGACAGATAGACTCTTCCATTAAGCTCAACTTACACAAAAATATATCGTATGCGTATATACGTATAGTAAGATATCTCTACTGGTCTTAATCAAAAGTCTTGAAAGATAACGGCGAAAGGCGATACCTCAACGTACGAGCACAGCTCACCCATTGCACATTTCTATAGGCTGTAAAACTATAGCAGATCTACCAGAGATGCTTTAATACATGATATTTTATAGAAAATAAATGAGCATGCGACACTCATTAGTTCTAGCCAACTAACAACACTGAGAGATTCTATGTGCTGTGAGCGCTAGCAAAATTGCGAGTGCTGCGCTAGACACCTCGTTTCATAAATTCACAATTCACGTTATTGGCATTATCAACGGACAAATTCATCGTTCAACGTTCTGACAATGACACAGCTATCACAATAATCTATCTAAACTTCACCGGCGACTGTTTATTTGAGAGTTTTAGAGGCGGGGGCGTAACTAACGTATCGCGCGTCTCTTAGTCCTGCTAACGCGTAAACACAAAAACAAAAACGTTCACATAACGTTATTTTAACGTTATGTTTTGGTTTGGATAACATTATACACCAACGTTATAATTACGAAATTGTGTCGGGTTTTTATAACGTTTTTATAACGTTAAAAAGAACGTTTTCCTAACGTACTAAAAACTTGAAAATAACGTTCTTGTGCGTGGTTCTGATAACGTTAAAAAAACGACACAATTACGTTAATGTAACGTTTGTAGTTACGTTACGGTTACGTTATTTTCTACTTAAACGCTCCATATTGATATATATATATATTATATATATATTGATAGACTCCTGATAATATATCAAAGTTGTATATAGATCGTTGATGATGTATCGTGCTCAGCATGTCATGTGGGGCATATATATATCGTCATCTAGAGGCTGACTTAAATATCATTAGTGCCACGTCAACCAGGGCACCCTATCATAAGTAAAAAGCACTCGGATTTATTTTTAATATGAGACTACGGATTATTTGTTCTCTCTTTTAAAAGCATAATTTCAACAACTTGTTGTTTTGTTCGACAGATACTCTATAGGCATGCGCTAACACAGGTCTATCACTATACTATGCTGTAATGAAATTTGAGATAAGTAGAGAGGTTATGACTGGTGAATATACTCACTAAATTAAATGTATGATATCAACAAGATATACTATTTAATTTAATTAATAGCGGCTATAGATATGCATGTGTATATTTCATATAAGACACAAATCGCCATATAGGGCCTACTCATGGCTGATTTAAATCTCATTCGCGTTAAGCAAGCCAGCTAGAGCTCTTTTATCGTTATTATAGAAAGAAATGATATAATCATTCATATCAGGCTACAGCGAGGAATATTTGCTTCACATTTTTTTTATAACTTGAACAAAAATATTCTTCCATTTTGGTAGATACTATAGGCATGTGCAAAAACAAGCGTATACAGTTTATGATTATTAAAATGACAGGTGGGTTTGTGTTTTCTAAATTAAATAGATAATTTCAGAATGTAGAACACAGATAGCCATTTATTGGCTTATTAAAATTTTATTTGTGTTGCGCGCGCCAGCCAGGGTAGGCACTATCCCATCATTAATAAAGACAGCCAAAAATAATTTAATCGATTTGCTCGAAATTGCGGAATTGAACACTCATTGACCTGACATCATTATATTTATTCATATAAATTTAATAACATTCATTACACATAACAAAACCTAAACATAAGACCATCTTCTTAAGTAGAAATAAATTCGTACAACAACTATAATGTTACTGGTGCCAAGAGCAAATAATGGACATTTGGATCATGTGGATATTTATGCTCCTATTCAACAACTATTTATACTAGAACTATTTATACATATGGGCATATAGATGGGTGCATGATATTAGCCATTATCAACTCCCTTTTCTAGCGTTTATCGGACAACACGTTAGAGAAAGAATATGAAAGCGCCTGGTACCATAACCTAACACAATATACCTACGGTACAATATAACACCTATATATCCCCCATCACACAGTTAGCATGCGGTTACAACAAGGTATACGCACTAAAAAATACAGAATTTTTCTATAGTGACTTGAAAATATATTGTTACTATAACCTTTAACTGTATTTGTACCGAACACTTATTGATAGCAATTGCTATTTCATAAACACTTGTAGTTTAGTAGTTTGGAAATAAATCTTTGCCATGGCTTCGGTGGGATTGTGGAGACTGTCTAAATAGCTCGACTATATGTTTTAAAACTAACTTGCAGATAAAAGTGTAAACTTATTATATTAACGAATAATATTTGCGCTCAGTCATATCAATATCTGTATTCGCAATATAATGTCGTCTTCCACAAACGTGACTCTAGCTATGTTAGCTAAAAATATATGTAAAAACATATGCAAAATTGTGCGAAATAGAGAGCCTACGATGCAGTCAGCAAAATGTGTCATTATGTTTACTAATCATCTTGCCTGCTATCTGCTGGACAGAACATGTACCAACTTATACACCGAGTTAACACACTTGATGATCTACTTCGTCTCAGGTTAAAGACCGCCAAAGGTCACTTTGCTACAACACCCGCTTTCGGTACAAAACATAAATGTTACTATTACAAATGATAGTAATATTTCACATGGCACACTCTATACATACATACATATATACATACATACATACATACATACATACATACATACATACATACATATATACATACATACATACATACATACATACATACATACATACATACATACATACATACATACATACATACATACATACATACATACA